ATTCAAATGTACCAAGCAGAATTACTAAGAACTGAACATTTGGTAAACACTCATGCTGAGGATCTGCCAAGATGTACAAACTGTTTCTTGTTCCAGGGCATCTTAGATCACAAATAGGCAAAGTACCATCACTGCAAGGGATGTATACTGCAAGCAAAGCAGTCTTCATGAAGAGAAACACAGAATCATGGAATGGCCTGGGTTGGAAGGGACCTTAAAGACCATCTAGTTCCAACCCCCCTGCCACGGACAGGGGCACCTTCCACTAGACCAGACTGCTCAGAGCTCCATCCAACCTGGCCTTGGACACTTCCAGGGATGGAGAGAACGCAGTATGGTATTGTCTCCCAACAAGAGGCCACTGTATAATGTTGATGTAGGCATTCACAAGAAAGACTGTCATCAGCTTTCAAGTGGTAAAATAAGGTAGATAGGAGCAGTTTAAGGGGGCAAATTGACATGATCTTTGTTTACCACGATTCTGATTTTTATTTTACTTTTAAAATCAAATTTAAGGAACAAAAGTTACTCTTTAGTCTTTAATCAGAAAACTGCAAAGTTGTTTTCTTAAATTAAACAAGTTACAAACATAAAAGACCAAGTTTGAACTTGTACATCATGAACGATTCTGCTAATTTATGTTTTTGACAAAACACTCTTTAGAAGAAATTTCTACATCAACCTCCTTCAAAAACCTACATACACACTAGACTCAATAAATAATGCTAATATTTATAAAGAGTTAATACATACCTCCCCAGCTTTCCTTGCTAAACCAACTGCATAATCCATACATTCTTGCCAGGGATCTGCCATCTTTTCTGAGGTAAACAGCCTAGCAAAAGGAAAGATTAACGCAAAAATTATTATGGCTAATTTTTTGATTTTATTTTCTTTACAAAATCCAACTTTCTTGCTGAGATACACCTAGCAATCGAGGAGACACCCGGCGAGCACGCCCCGCCACGCTCCGGGGCTGTGCGGTCCTGCGGGCTGCGCCCGTCCCGAGCGATGGCCGGACGCCGCAGCCCCCTCACGGCGCCCCGAAATGGCGGCCGCAGGCGGAGCAGGAGCCGCAGCCGCAGCAGGCCGGGACTCACCGCCCTTCCCCGCCGTCTCCGCTCCCGCCGAGGCGCAGGCGCCGGGACGAGCCCGCGGACCCGCCTCCTCCTCCCGCCGCCCGGCGCGGCCGCCGCGCCTGCGTGTGAGGGCTCGGGCGCCGCTGCTTCGGCGGCAGCGCTGTCAAAATGTACAGTGAAAGTGTTGAAATTAGCCTTTGATGTCGACTTCTTGTTAATAATTGGACGCGGCGGCGTGGAGATAACCGTAAATGCTCTCCCATGGAGCACGCGATTGGAGTTTATCTTAGATTCACAGAGTGGTTTGGGTTGGAAGGGGCTTTAAAAATCATGAACAACCCCCCTGCCACGGGCAGGGACATCTTCCACTAGATCAGGTTGCTCGAAGCCCCATCCAGCCTGGCCTTGGACACTTCCAGGGGTTGGGCATCCACAACTTCTCTGGACAAACTGTTCCAGTGCCTCAACATCCTCACGGAGGGTGAGTTCACAGGGTTCAAAGATTTTTGAAAATAATTTGCAGTTCAACTGGTACATTTCCAAGATTAATTAAAATCATATAGAGGAAAAAAGCTTTCCTTTCCAAGCCTGAAGCTTTCCTTTCCAAGCCTGACTGATACCACTTTCTTTTTTTTCACTTGTGGTGTTTTGACCCTATTTTCTGTAATCAAAGCAAAACACTAAGGGGTTGTCTTGTCTTCACAAATTGCAAGTGATGTAACTTACTGTCATATGTAAAACAATGATCTGCTGTAAACAGGACAAGGGTTGTAGTTTGCTTTATGCTTGAAATAATCGTAAAACATCTACGTCGCCAAAAGACAGAGTCTTACCCCATTTCCCTAATGGCAGTCCAACCACAGCTAGGTCCTTTCCACATCAGTGAAGATACAGTATCCACTGCCGGCAATGCTCTTGTGTCGGACAAGTCACTGTGCCATTTCACTTTTCTTCCTTCCCTTCTCATAAACAGCAATGGTGATATAAGCCTGCTTTTTAAAGGATGCGTAGTCACTGAAGAACTACGGAGATGATAAATTGTGTTTTTACTAATTATTTTGGAAGTCATTCTTTACGAGGTTGTATTAATAGCACACAGCCAGTTGAAAGAGGCACTTTGTTTCAGAGTTGGGTTTTATTGAGGGAAGCTGCCAAACATGCCTCAGTACAACCTATACAGGACTGCACAAGTATTATGGAAAACGGCTTCTTTGACATTGTTAATAGTATACTTAACATTACAGCAAGGGTTTTACAGGAGATTTCAAATTCTGCATTGATCCTAAAATCAGAAGTAAACAGGAATGCCTAATAAGTGAAAGAATTTCCCTAATCCAAACCACAGTTACCATTCCAGCTGAAACAAAATTTTGTATTTCATGTAAGAGGCTACTATGAGGACAGCTGAGCTGCAAGGAGATGTATTTTCAATTGACACCAGATAAACAAGATGAACAGAGGTGATCTATTGACAAAAAGTCTTCGGACTGATCAAACTCCAGAGCACATACTTTTCTAAACCAGACACAGAAATGGAAAACGCTAAAAATAAAAGTACGAGAGATTACTTCCTGCTTTCTTAGTGTGATATGTTGTTTCTTGTTTACTACAGCATTGCCCAGCTGATCTAATGGCTCTCGTATCCAAGCAGAATTGAGCTCTGAGTATTAAATACAACCAAACTGTTGTTTCCAAACTGTGTTCTGTATATTACAAATTTATGCCAGGCAACTTTGTAGCAGTGTTTGAACTGGAACAAGGCTGGGAGCTGCTACCAGCATGTTTGCAAAGCCTTGACCTTGTGCATTCTCTAAAACTACTGTACAGATAGAACAACCAAAAAGCTTGATATTGACCTATTTTAGTAGTTTGGCTGAAAATACTGTTTATTATAAAATCATTAAGTATTTCTTTTGACAAATTCCTCTTCTTGTTTAAGCAACTTTGCATACATTTTCTTTGTAACTACTAGAAGTGAGTTTAACATTTTATTTATTAACTTTGAAGTGAAACAATTCAGCACATTCTAAACACAGGCCTGTAAAATTAACAGCAGTTTCAAATGTCAAACATCTCCTCCAAAGTGTTTTATAATTTTTTTCAAATACAGTTGTTGAACTTTCCCTATGAAAATGTGCTAAGATAAGAAGCTGTAGAAAAAACAAAAAAAATATATATGCTAAGTAAAGATATGCTAGAGTCTAAACAGGTAAAATGTGAGCAATCCTAGCCTAGGCAAGATACTGAAGCTCTAGGAAAGTTTCTGCTTTTGTTCCTAGTATAATTGTTTAGGGTAGAGTTTTCACCTCTCCTCAATTATTTATCTGTCAGACTAGCTTAATTTGGTTTTGCTTCTCGGTTTCTGAAAACTAAGTGGAATTAGCTTCTATGTACAATCCCAGACACATTCCTGGAATAAGATGAATGTGAAAACTTTTTGGAGTCTTACCAACTGTGACTTGCCATGTTTGTATTGTCATTACAGGCTGCTAGCTTTTAGCAATTACTGGCGATTGATGAAAGCAACCATCCTGGTAAAACCTTGGAGGTCTCCCCAAAGATTTATTTGCTGTATCCCAAGTCTATCTTCCCTTTATCCAAAACAAATGTTATTTCAATTATTTTGCCTTCAACTGCTAAGGCAGAAAAATCAGGGGCAGAAGAAAGGGTGTAAGCAGAGAATGAAGATTTTCTGCTGAAAAAAAATGGCCCTGTTGTGTAGCAGCATTTTCCATTTGTTTGTTTAACAACAGTGGGGGGAGCAAGTGCTGTTTAGGGCTCTTCCCCAAATCACTGGTCCCACAATGATGGTTGGCCTCTTATTGCATATTCCATACCACAGCAGCCTAAGATGCAAAGAAAGATGAATGGAAAATTGCAGAGGAAAGGGAGGAAAAGAAATAACAAGAGAAAAGGGAACTGTTCCTCTTGTACTAGAAAGGAAGATAACAGCAGGAGAGACAGGCCAGAGAAATGCTCCTATAATTTCTGCTGCCAGGAAACAAACATTTCAAAAATATCCAGCCACCGAAAACCTTTCCTTGATGGAAACCAGAAACATCTTCCTTTTTATGACATTCATACCACATCCAGTAAAATAATTTATCAATTCCCAAGTCATGCTAAAACTACAGTAAAGAGTACCATAAAGCAAAATGAGAAACAAGTAACAGTGACATGATTACTGAGATCTTTTTGGGTTTTTATGCAAGTCAAATCAATACATAATAATCCTACAGATATTCCTAAATTGTTACAAAGGAACTATTGCTTGGTAGTAATGAAAACCACAACACTTTACAGCCAGTTGAATGTTCAAAGACCACATTACTGTTCTACCAATGGGGAGAGTACCTTTGAAAAAGATGCCAGGGAGACTCCCCTTACAGTGTGATTTTTTTTTAATTGCAGCTATGCCTAGAATGGGTGTGTCACACATGTCTGTTTGTCTTCAAACTGGTATAAATGAACCACAATCCAATGTGGACATCGTTTCCCTTTAGGCAAGCACATTCTGGAGGAAAACCTGGACACTTTTTCTCAGTTAGTGAATGTGGTAACTGAATGAGCTCAACCACCAAATCCAGATTTGGTGAATGCCCAAGTGACTGTGGTGAATTGTCTGTCTCCACTTGCACGTCTGACTCATACATCTCTCCGCCTCATGTGAGCTCTCCGAACTGAAACTCCATTTCTCACAGGACTACCAATATTCCCTAACCTTATGTCCTCTGCCCTCTTCATAGAATTTTTCCCCACTTCTGTGTATGTCCTGCAGTGGCAGGACAATGTCCTTGGGATGCATCATATGGGATGCCATGATATAGTAATTGGAGTTGGATCAGGGGTTGGACTTGATGATCTTGGAGGTCTCTTCCAACCCTACCTATTCTATGATTCTATGATTCTATATTGACATTTTTGAACAATGTAGACATTCATCTCCCTGTGGCCCAGTTACACCTCCAGGTGTCACTGAGTACATTCAGTCATGGTGCACGTAGAATCTGGAACATCCTTACAAACATGAGAATAGCACACGAAGATAGTCCCCTGAAAGAAAGTGCCCCATTGTCTGAAAAAGAAAGGTAGCTCTTCCCTTTTCAAACTTATTTAAAGGTGAGTCACGCTGATCTAGCAGTGAGTCAGGCTGCGGAAGACAGAGATTTCTACCCCTTGGTCTGAATACTGTGCTCTAATCACAAGCCACTAGGTCATTTCAGTAGCAATGGATCACACCTTCTATGCTGCAGCTGAAAATCTTGCTAAGCCTCTTTAGTATCCGATGAATAGGTTTGCTTCAGTAGTTCTTCCACTCTGCACAGCCCCACAGAGCAGGAGAAATACACTACAGCTTTGCAAATAAAGCTTAGGCTTGTGCTTTCCACTGCTCTGTTCACATCTGTTCATCCACTGTCATTTTCTTGGAGAATATTGACAGAATAGTTGTAAACAGGTGAAAGCAAATTGGGAGGATTAGTCTTGAAAGGATTCTAGTCCTCTAGCTTAAACAGAGATAGGCTCAAGGCCACCGGAGGATGAGTTTATGTTGCAACAGGTCTGTTCAGAAAGATAAAGCAAGGCTCCTTGGTTATACATCAGGACTTACAGTTAGAAGAGTGCTACTATTTGTGTGCCACATTATGTGGTTTTGTGTTTCAGCAATTCAAAACAGCTGTGACTGTGATAAAAATGATCTCATGGTTCTTACTTCCTATGTTCACTTTGAATTTTCAATCCAGCTTTGAAAGAGATCCAAAATCTGGAGTACATCAACTACTGATATTATGAACTACCTTCTTAATGAGCAACAAACAGGACACCAACAACTGAGAAAGTCATTAATTGTGTAGGTCATTCTTATTTACCCAGAGGTGTAACTTCTTTATGTACAATCACTGTAAATAACCACTTTAAAACTTAGTAAATCACCTTGCTGACTACTGAAGAGGATTTACCTACGGTTGGAAGTGCCCAGATGATATTCCAAGCTGTTAAATGCTACACTTCTAGTTAAATTATATTTCTTCCTCTCTGACCATATTTATTCCTCTTTTACACAGGAATTAGAAAAGGATAATTTCACGTTCTCTTTTTATTCCCCGCCTAATCACACAATGAGATTTGCAAACACAAGGAAGACATCTGTGTGGATTTACTCTTGCTTCAGAAAGCTTTCCTTCTAAACATCGTTAAGCTATTATGAGAAGAAAGTGTGGACCTATCATATGGACAGTGCTGGTTTTCAAACTCAATGAAATCTGTTCTTGTAGCCATAGAAAAGATGCTGCAATAGTGTAATGTGTTTCTTTCCTTCAAAGAACTGGTACACTGCAAGTTTACATTTACATTATTTATTAATACATACTGTCCCCACCATTTATAAAAAATAAATATAAAAATTAAGAAAACATTCTTGATATTTTACAGCTCAATAGAGCAAGAAGTTATTCTAGAATGTAAATATCTGTAATATCAGTTATTATAATAACTAATTTTCCTTTCAGGATTTTGTTCTTCTGTCAGTCAAGCAACTTAGAAATTGATGGGAACTGTGTCTTCAAAACTGAGGAGAGATTCTGGCACACCAGTGATTTTAAAAGAAAACTGGACTTGCTCAAATACCATGCTTCTGAAAAATCTTTTTTTTTTTGTGATAATTTACTAACTAAAGTATGACTCTGTATCTTCTATAAATAGAACATCATTATCAAGATATTCCAGAATTATATTTCCTCCATTGTACAGTGGATAGTCTTTATCAGATAGCCATGTTTCCAGTGTATGTTCAAATGGCAAGGCTTCTCCAGAGACAGTATGGCATAATCTCAATTTCTGTAAGACAAATAGCACAGAAATTAACATCAAGATTTGCCTATCCAAGATGAAAGACGTGGGGTGGAGGAGGGACAAAAGGCTAAAGAAAACTAAAATCAAAATGCAACAACCTGGAAAATATTAGTTATTACTGATTTACCTGGGATGTTGATTTGTTGTTGTCATTTTTAAGGCTTGCTAAGGAAGCTGCAAAATCTACTACTTTGCCAACACTCCACTTACTGCAAAAGAACATAGGTTTGCTTTTCTCTTTGTTCCCCTTTGGTAAAAATACTTGAAAATAAATTCTTTCTGTCTAGAAGAACATGAAAAATAAAACAAAATTATTCACAGAAGAAACACGTAATTCCAGTCATACACATCTAATAGTTCTTCAGCAAAAGACCTTAAACTTCAGCCCCAAAATTACTAACTGAAACTTGTTCTATTCCATCAGGACCATTTTACTGCAGAATATAAATGACTGAGAGACTGAGATCATCAAATACAATCCTCTCCTGCTGCAGGCAAATATATGATGGACTGCAAGTCTAAACGGTGAAGAGAACACCTTTCACCATGAGTCCCACAGCTACACTGTTATATACAGATAGACAGGAAAAGGTGTCTGCCCTGGGGAGAAAACAGTGAGCTTAAATAAGCAGTACTGGCTTTTGGCAGCAGTACAGTGTCTCAAACTGGAATGCAAAAGCAGTTAGAACAACTCCCTGAACAAGAATCCGGTCATAGTCAGCTAATCCTTTACCTGGTTTTCCTCCTTTTATGTACTAAACACTCTTCCTTCTAGACTGAAATATTTGTTTAAGAAATTTCAAGAGTAACCTATGAGAGAGAGATTTTGAACAGGACTGGGACAATCTCTTCTTCAGGTTTATTTCAAGAGAAGACATGGAGCAAGCACAACTGCTATATTCATCAGGTAGGACTGCCCTTGCTGAAGCCAAGCCAGACACTATCAAACAAGACAGAAGTCTCTTTTTAAAGGTTTTATTTATGCCTTCCCTAGAAACATATGGAACTACCCCAGTTATGTTCATAAAGCTGAGTCTGAATTTCAACCTGTGCATTTTCCTCAAAATTTGAGTGTGCTTGAGAAAATCTTCAACATCCATTAATATTACAAAGGGGCAAAGGAAGCAGGACCTGAATCTTGCTCAAATGTAAATGACCAGAACTTGTAGAACAGCCAACACAACAGCCCTCCTATTATGGACACATGCTACCATCAATCAACTGCTACCTGTGCCTCAGCACATTCCTAGTTCGTCCTCCAGTTCTAAGGATGACAAAATAGTTTCCCACAGTTCACAAGAACTTAATTCCCAAACCAGTTCATTCTACTGTTGCATCCCTGTAACTACAGGATATGCCTCCTGGAATTTCTCTGTCATATTCAAGAAAATACTGATCAATCAGGGACACAATGACTAACAGCTTCGCAGCATGGCCCTCCTGTTTTGAGCTGGTCAGTCTCCAGAGGGATAACGCTCATCAGGTCTGACATCAAAAGAAGTAATCATTGGCAAAAAGCTGATCTAAACAAAGAGGCCACAGAAATGATATTTCTAAGATAGGAGAATTTTCCTGAACATAGAATAAGAAAGGTCAGGAAGGATGCTCTGGTATCACATGGTCCAAAATCATGCTCAAATCAGGGGGAAATTTAAAGCTAGACCTGACTAAAAAGGTTGGTAAGAGGTTGCTCAAGTCAGATTCAATCAAGTCGTGAACATCCCAAAGATGTAGATTCCACAAATTTTCAGAACAGTTTGTTCCAAAGTCTGACCATCCTCACTGTGTGGTTTTTCTTCCTAATACCTTAATTGGAATTTCACACACATTGCAGCCTGTGCCCATTGCTCCTGTCCTTTTGCTGTGCACCTCTAAGAAAAATGTGTCAGTTCTCTACATAAGTGATGAGAGAACTAATATGCCTAACAGGCATTTCAGAAACCTCATATTTAAAAAATCTGTCATCAAAATAGAACAATCTGAGCAGAAAAAGGCTAAAAGGAGTCTAGGAAGCAATATAAATAGAGAGGTGCTAAAGGTTAACAGGCTTAATTTATCAGTGTTAGAATTATTGCTGTTCTAGATGATTAAACAATTAATATCCAAATGAAAAAACTGCTGGTAAGAGAAATTATCATACAGTAATTTGTGGTACACTATTTAGTTTACTGACTTTGGAATTAGGAAGCAACTTTAAATTTTTTCTTATATAAATTGAGAGTGGTTTTTAAAATTATGTTCCACAATATTTGAAATTACTCACTTTCCCTCTAGCCCATACTTATTATAGTGGTACTACTTGTGAAGAATGCTACCAGCAGGTCTTTGTATTATGACATCTTCCTAAACAGAGTTATGTGGTTTCTAAACAAGTATAAAGAAAGAAATTCATAAGAAGACTCGGCAATCAAATAGCCGTTGTTGCATTTTTTTTTAATAATTAAATTCCAGTGGTGACATGGTGGAAGGTGTCCCTGCCCATGCCAGTGTGTTGGAGCTAGATGATCTTTAAAGTCCCTTCGAACCCAAAGCATTCTATGATGAATATGAGTTATGACATATACTCTACTAGGATAAAACCTAATAATAATACCATCATATACGTTTTTAGTATTCTAAAAACCAGTATAACAGACTTAAACTTGGTGTGCTCCAACATAGCAATGTGGTGAAAAAGCAATTTAAACACAGTTGTTTTAAGAGGATGCATAGATACAGATCTAAAGTGAAACCCTTGATGAAAGAACCGAGGTGTTTCTAAACCCAACATAATCTTGGCAAGTGAAAATACTTGAACACCAGGTGTGACTGACCTTGATAGTGAAAAGCAATAAGGAATCCGTGAAAAATTACAAGAATCAAGGAAAGTAAAGGCTTCATGGTTTGCCTACCGAAAAACTATAGTTGCTAGTGAAGAAAGGAGAAAAGGAGGAAAAACTATCCACATCTCTACCTAGTACCCCTTCCATAAATGGAAACCCCTTTAAATCACAAAGATATCCTGACTTATCTCTCCTATTAGAGAGCAGTATCAGGGAAACTAGGCAAAGGGATCAGACTGGCGGAGGTACAAGTGGCCCTACTCTCTGCCACTTGAGGACTGAGTGCCATCCTTTAGGCCATAGTAAACAATAAATTAAAGACTGATTTCTTCATGGATAGTGGAGCACAACTATTCATTATTAAAGCAGAATCCTGTGCTGGAGCTATCCCACTGAAACGTCAGAAAATATTAGTAACTTGAGTAAATGGAGCTTTTTATTCAATTGCTAAGGTAAAATTAGAACTTCCTTTTGTGTCCCTCTGTTCCCCAAAAACAGCAAATGCAACCAGGAAACCTAAATAAGTTTGGTATGGATATTCTGGGGGCTGGATTTAGAGCAACACCAGCTGGGCTACCGAAACAACTGATGAAGAAACAATGCTAGGGCCCCAGATGGGAGGTCACCTTCTTGGGGGACCAAATGGACTGTGGGCAGTAAGTCAGTCCCCTGGTCCACTTGGCAAATTGATTATGTTGCACTTCCCCCCTGAACACCCAAGGGGTGGCGTTATATCCTTAGTGGCACTAAAATAACAAAGTTTTTCTTGCTGGAACGCTGATGGTTTTACTACTCTGGCAGGATTTGATCTATGGTTTGCTGACACTCCCACGCCCTCTGCTGTGCAGTCCAATAATGGCATTAATGAAAAAAAAAAAATTAAAAATCCAGGAATGGTGTGAATACCATGGAGTTGTCTGGGTCCAGTTCCACTTGTCCTACAGACCTCAAAGTAACGGTGCAGTTGAGAAGTGGAAAGGTCTACTAAAATGAGCTCTAGGGTAAAGTTACTTAGAGGAAAATGTGGTAAAGTCCTACTTAAATCTGTTTGATTCTTAAATAAGCAGACACCCACCAGATGCCTGGTAGAACAAGCTCATTTTCTTGCTCTCTAACCAATAAAATGCCTAAACCTCCCCCTGTCATCCCATCATTTTTCTCAGGGTGACAATGTTCTTATTAACTATCCTATGATGGTTAAAATATCTGTCACTTTACTAACTCCTTGAGTAAACAGCACATGGAAAACTTTCTAAGTGCAGACTCCCTTTAACTTTTGCTGATGTTTGGATAGCTCCTAAGAATGAGAAATTTCTTAATGTTTCAGGTAATGAACGATACTTGGTCAGATTCTTTAGCCTGAACAAACCTGGAGTGTGCCCAAGGAATCATGACTTCACCTTCATAGAACCCACAGCTGTAAAAAGATGGACACAATACCCACTGTACTTTACTGACCTTATTTGTTCCTCCATCCTCTCCATTTCAAGAATGGGATGATAATCGTGTCATTCAGTTTATGAAGTTCATTTCTCATATGGGTTTTTTACACATACAAATTGTATTGTTTACAACACCCTGACTCTTCAGATGCTAATTCTGGATGGGTAGCTGAACCTGCTCCTGAAACACCTTGGTACCAACCCAAGTTGAAGTACTCACTCCCCAACCCTCCAAATTATCAAACTCAAACTTCTAAGGCACATTCTTATGATAAGAACACATGGTGCACTGCAAATGCCCCAACATATAAATTCAGCCTGGGTGGGAAAACCAAGCAATTACATGTTTCCAGTCTAGACGATCACTCAAATATTAAAATAGCAAGCCAAGTATTTAGATTTGACCCAATGACCAAATCTGCAGAGGGTCCAGGTGATTAGGAACCACAAGCAGCTAAGATGTGCTATACAATTCTGTGCTATGCTACCTGCAAAATTGTGTTACAGTGATCCTAAAAATCATGTTCTACTCCAATAATAAAATTCTGATGATCATCAAATTCTGCTAAAATAATAAAGTTTTAATGCAACTTAGTGCTGTCATCATTCTGCCAAGGAAAAGAACCTGTCTGTCCCCACAGTGTTGGGTGACAGCCATGTAGCAGGAAAATACATTTCTACTATAAAATAAAAAAATTTGACCCAAACTCCACACAGACATCTTATAACACACATAAGACTAGTGAGATTGCTTTTGGGGACCAGGCTGAAATATATGTAAGTGATTGTGGGATTTAAAAATTAAATCCAAAACTGAACTGAGGGAACTAGATGACGATCAATAAATTTAGAAAATTTTCCATTTCCTTTGAGAATTCAATTATTGAAAACAAACATCACTGACCTGAGGCAAGGACTTGTCCCCACATGCGTGCATTTTCAGTTTCATTAATGCCACTTTTGCTGCAGTCTCACTGTTTTTTGCTCCTTTGCGTTTTTTGCTTTTTGCTTCCTCACTTTTTTTAGAATCTGAGAACAATATTATTCCTGTTAGTGTGATGATTCAGACTGTTCCCTGAACATATCTTAGAATTAGCCTATTTGGCCTCATTGTATCTCCAAGGTTCCCATCCCCTTCATGTCCCTTCATGTCCTCAAGGTCATCTACCAGATACTTCTATTCAAGAATATTTGGAATTGTTACTGTTCTAGCAGAACTCCTTTACACTGAAAAGTAGATGAACACTATCATGATGTACAGACAGGCTGCAAAAGTCAAATAGATATAAATTCAAAAATTTCAACAACTGTGGCCAGCACAGCATTCATATGACAACAGTTTCAGGTCCTCCTTTCTACACAATCTCACTGTCCAGTTGGGCAGTTTTGTTTATTCTCTTTCCCATCCTAGAACTTGTTTAAGATCTGCAAAACATAACATTATAGAGTCACTTTTTTTTTTTTGCCGTTTTGGTTTGTAGGTATAATCCTAACAGACTGGCATGCACACCCAATGCAATTGCATTATTTGCACATGAATCAATATGTAAATAATAATGACTAGGTACACTTCATTACACTATAGTATTTGTAGAATAAGAACTTCTGAAAGAAACCTGAGCCCTATTTAATCTTTAAAAATTCTCTTCATACTGTTGCCTCGTCTCAGCATAGATGAACAGTATTACATGTGACATGAGTTTAGGGCTATTTAACCAAGGAACTCCCATCTTTTTTTATTTGGTTGAACCTGACCCCTTCAAAGGAGGTCAGAAGTTCAAACAGTCTTCTGAAGAAAACTGCAGAATACATATCCTGCTGTACTTGCCTATAATATGTTTAACTAGCTGCTGGGTAGCAGCCATTCGAGGTTTTGGCGTGTCCAGCTTTTCACATTCATGGTCTGATTGATGGCGATGTCTGTAAATAACAGCATAAAACTTTTAATACCTTTTCCATACACTAATGAATGAGTATTGATGTTTAAGCACCCTGTTCCACTCACCTTAGACAAAAATGTTTTTCACAGTAGGGACATAAAACTGGCAAAAGCTCCTTTCCATTGCAGTCCTTGTATGAGCACGGGTAAGACTTGTGCTGATCAGGTTTCATAGAATTGTTTCTTATATTCACCTAGGCATTAGTACAAAATATTTTGTGTAAACAAACAGATACCACAGATACAAGTAACCACACATCTTTCCCAAAGAACTGCCCTAGCTCTCCATTCTATTCTCCTACTTTTGTCCTGGTTACGTTTAGCTCAGAGTTAGAAACAGAACCATCATTCTACTCAAACTCAATTTACTTCTGAGAGGCAGTAAAAGACTAGATTCATTTTTTTTTAAGCTTTTCACATTCACAGTTAAATAATGTATACTTATATATGTATTCATCTAGTCTGAAAACACACAGCTAATTTTAAGGCAGATTACCTCAGAACATCCATGAGCATCTCGGCTCCTGTGCTGAAGGCTTTGTGGAAAAAGAAGAGACATTTCAGGAAAAGAAAACCATATGTGAAAACATTCAAATATTTAAAGAGTGATCTGACTACTTTTATCATGGCAACACTTTAATTAGATAATGAATCTTCTACAAAGTTTGTTCTAACCTATGCATTTCACGTCTTGGATGACTGACTGATCATACTCTTCCTCAGTTTGTAAAACATTTAGTTCTTGGAACTTACGCCTCAAGAAAACAAACCACTTCAAGAGAATAAAGACATTAGTATGCTTAACAATTCAGCTCAAAGCAACTCGAGTTTGTCCATTTTAATGGATTTTCAATCACCATCCACAACAGCAGAAATCCCTTGAGGGCTTACGATGTTTTAGAAGTGAAATTTGCCCTCAGTCTACCTGAGTTTAACTCAGTTGCCCTCTGCCTATCTGAAGTGTAAACCAAAGTGCAGGCCCCAATTTCAACCTTGGAAGAAACTTCAGATTTTTTTCTGGAACTAAAAATACCCAGCCACCTCCTTTTATGACAAGGTTACTCATCGAGTTGACCTTGGGAAGCCCACAGATGTGGTGTTTTGCATTTCAGCAAAGCTTTTGACACTGTCTCTCACAGTGTCTTTCTGGACAAAACAACCCGCACGCAGTTAGGCAAATCCATAATATGATGGGTGGCTGATGGTTTGGGTTCAAAGAGTTATAATAAATGCAATTGCATCAGGCTGGTGGCCAGTCACCAGCACAGTTCCCCAGAGCCTAATTTTAGGGCCAGTGCTCTTTAATTTTTTATAAATGATCTGGAGACACGTTAAGCTTACCAACAATACTAAACTAGGAATAGCTGTGGAGCCCTGGAGGGTGAAGTCTCATAGAAGATTCTGGATAAACTAGAGACCTGGGCAGTCACCAACCGTATGAAATTTAACAAGAGCAAGTGCAGGATTCTTCACCTGGGATGAGGTAATCCTGGTTATACATACAAACTGGGGGATGAGAGGCTGGAAAGCAGCCCTGCAGAAAGAGATCTCTGGGTTTGGGTCAATGGCAAGTTGAATATGAGCCAACAATGTGCCCGGCAGCCAAGAGGGCCAACCATGTTCTGTGGAACACCAAGCACAGCATTGCTAGATGGCTGAGGGAGGCGACTATCCCAACTGTACAGTGCACTTGTGTGGCCTCACCTTCAGTACTGTGGGCAGTTCTGGGTGCCACAATATAGGAAGGATGTCAGATTATTAGAGTGTGTTTAGAGAGTGACTAAGATGGTGAAAGGCCTCAAGGGCCTGACTTAGGAGGAAAACTGAGGTCACTTAGTTTGTTCACCTTGGAAAAGACCAGACTGAGGGTGACCTCATCACAGCCTACAGATTCCTCAAGAAGGGCAGCAGAGAAGAAGGTGCTGAGCTCCTCTGGTGACCGGTACCGACATGAGGAAATGGAAAGAAGCTGCATCATGGGAAGTTCAGGTTGAACACTAGGAAAAGGTTCTTCACCGAGAGGGTGGTTGGGCACTGGAACAGGGTCCCCAGGGAAGTGGTGACAGCACCAAACCTGTCAAAGTTCAAGGAGTGTCTGAATGACACTGGTTTAGTTTTAGTCCTGTGCGGAGCAGGGAGTTGGACTTGTTGATTCTTATAGGTTCCTTACAATTTGAGGTACTCAAACTTACCAAAAGACACCTGAACAGCCATCACATATAAAGGGAAGAAAATCTGAAACAGAGAGATTTGTTTTCAGTTAGACAACACGGTTTTGTTTTGCTAGTAGTTTCTAGCTTAATTTTCACATGATTAACTTTTGCTTACCTATATCATAGGGTAGGTATCTTTACAAGGATATTTAGCAACTGCATCTACACTTTACCTAAAAGTGTCTTTTGTGACAGTTACACTGTTAACTCCCCTAATCAATAGAACGGAAAAACATATGAGTAGGTAAATTATACTTACATACATTCCAGAAGCTGGAATTAGGCTTTAAATTAAATTTTTTTTTAAAATATCAAACTATGACATTGGAACATTTGGCTAGCCATCAAACTTACCAGTTAGTTATTCTAAAAATGTAATTTATTGTGAGACTACTTAGAATACTATTTTCTGACGTAGGACAATTTACATTTTTTATTTTACAGGTTGCCAACTGGTGGAGATGGCTCTTTGAAAGGGATAGCATCTTCTCCATTTGACAAGGCATGATGATCCTGCCCCTTCTTCTCTAGCTTTTATATCATATCATACATACCATCCTTGTTATTTAAATTGCACTTATGTACACACCCCCTGGGACCCCTGGTGGCTTAGTGGTTAGCATGCAGGACTCTCACTGCTGCGACCCTGGTTCGATTGCCCGGTCCCCCTGGCAGATGGAGCTCGTTAGCCCTGTGAGGCCATCCATCTATGAGAAGGTCACTCTAAACAAACCTACGTCCTGAGGACCTCACTGCCATTGTCCAAGCTTGCTTGGCCCCGGCAGATGAACCTTAGGATTAAAGGGTGGGCTCAGTTCAGCGCATGCTGTGTCTCACCTAAAAAATCCATTGCGCAGGCTGGAAAGGTAAAAGACCTTTCCCAAAATCTTCGTTCGCGAAGACTGGCCATTATATATTATTATTACGTACACAACCCCTGCCTACTGCATCAGTTCTTAGAGATAAAATCACTTTGTTGTCCACTGAATTCAACCACATCACCAACGGCAGCAAATGCCCTCTACTCTACCCCATTACTCCGTGTCTCCATCCTTCAGATTTGATGTTAAGGGACCACCACGCAACTGGATTACAGAGGTCATGTCACGACGATCTCAGTCACTTCATCCCTAAGATCGAGTGGTCCCATCAGAAAGCTTTCGGTATAGGGGGTTTTGCTGCCTCTTTCTGAGAGATTACATTTTCAGTGACACTTTCCGAGATCACCGAAGGCAAGCAAGGAGGAGGACCGGGAAAGCAGGATATTAACCACCAAGGGATACAGCCGAGACGACAGGCACTGGGCCGCGCAGGGCTGCAGCAGCACGGAGGACTCCCCGAGCGGGGGGAACCACCACACAACCCCCGCACCGCCCCGGCTCACCATCCCCGCCTCCACCGCGTCCTCCCTTACCGAGCTGGCGGCAGTCGGACACCCCGCAGTGCTGCCCCAGCTCCAGCTCCGCCATGGCCGCGGGACGCAGGAGGCGGGCGAGGACGTGGAGAAGAGGCTGCGACGGGCGGGGCCGCGCTGGGGAGGGGCCGGCGGGACCCGCCCCGGGGCGGGGGATGGTGAGAGTCTGCCCGTCCGCTCGGAGCTGGAACCTCTCCCGCGCCGGGTTGAGCTGGCCTCGCAGGCTGGGGAGGTACCGGAGCGCCGGCAGGAGCGGCTGCCGCGCCGGGCTCGGCGGAATCTGCGCTGACCAGGCCGTGTCGGCGCTTCAGACTTCAGTGAGCCCAGAGCCGCGGCTGGTGCTCCTTGGGCTATTACAGGGGAAAACATGTCTTGTGTCTTACTTCTGTGGCTGTTTGCGTCGTCGCTCGGCTCAGGGCCTCTTCCCGAAGCGGATGGGAGGCAGCCCGGCATTCCGAGGCGCTTCTTGCATCCTGTGACCTGCGGTGTCCTTAGCGGCGCACCCGCCACTTTTGTAAAAAGCCACATTCCTTCAAAATTCAGTGTTATTTTCCCAGCCTTGACAGGCGTGCACGCCTGTGCCTTAGTGCGCTGCCCTCCCAAAACACAGCTTCCTGCCGCATGTGTCCAGTTCTGGGCCCCTCAGAACAAGAGAGACATGGAGCTCCTAGAGCCGATCCAGTGGAGAGCTACAAAGGTGATCAAGGGACTTGAGCATCTCTCTTACGAGTAAAGGCTGAGAGAGTTAGGCTGAGGAAGAACTCTACTGTGCAGGTGACCGAGCACTGGAACAAGTTGCCCAGAGAGGTTGTGGAGTCTCCCTCGCTGGAGATATTCAAGAACTGTCTGGACACAATCCTGTGCTCTAAGATGACTCTGCTTGAGCAGGGAGGTTGGACCAGATGCCCCACTGTGTTCCCTTCTAACCTTACCATTCCGTGATTCTGTGACGCGGGGAAAAAATGGGGAGGGAAACACAAACTCAGTAGCCGCCTCCGCAGCGCGGGCACCACCCGCCCGGCCCGGGTCCCTACGGCTGCCCCGCGGAGCTCCCCGGCTCCTCCTGCCCTGCCCGAAGGTGGCGGAGGGCAGCGGCAGCTCGGCCTCCTCGGGGCCGCCCCCGGGACCGCCCCGCCGCCAGGTGCGGTGCCGCCAGCCCTGGGCATAGGAAGTGCTGTCACGGCTTGTGCCGGCCAGGGAAGTTTCTGCAGGACTGGCCGGGCCGGGCCGGGCCGGCTAGACCTTTCCGTCGGCGGGCGCCGAACCGGGACCGCCGCCATGAGCAAGATCTCCAGGTTTTTCAAGGGGGGCAGCTCGGCCGCCTCCAAGGGCCGCGGAGGGCCTTCGCCGCAGGAGGCTCTGGCCCGGCTGCGGGAGACAGAGGAGATGCTCAGCAAGAAGCAGGAGTACCTGGAGACGCGGATCGAGCGGGAGCTGGCGGTAGCCCGACAGCACGGCACCAAGAACAGGCGAGGTGAGTGCGGGCCGGACCCCAGTGCCCTCCGCCCCCGCCGGGCTTGCGAGGCTTTAAATCCCAGGGCTGGAGCGCCTCTGGGTCCTGGGGTCTGTTCGGAAGGGGGACTCGGGTCTCGCCGAGGCTGTGGCAGGGCCGGGTCAGCTGACTCCGCCGGTGTGCAGTGTGAGTCGGCTGTGGGCTCCCAGCAAGTATCAACACACGCGAGGCGGGATGGTCTTTGGCATCTATTAATGTTTAGTGTACTGTGGATTCATTATGGTGAGGTGGTAATAGAATGCTTTATTCCTCACTGATTTACTGTCTGTGGCTCCCTGTGCAATACACGTGCTTTGCACCACAGTGGATGCGTGTGTCGGCTGGATACCTGGAACCCAAAATACTGCTGTTCAGTGTGGGGAGGGGATCACAGCTTGGAGATTTAGTATTGGTTGGGCGGGTGGAAAAGGAGCTGAAGGACGTGAGGATCTCCTGTATTCATGAATAAATGCATATTATCCCCACCGGTGGCAACTGAGGAAAAAAGTGATTCAGTGATTTGCCTCAAATCACATAGGATGTACATGATACAACCAAAAAATGAATGATAGTTTAGAGCATTAGTGACTACTGGTGTTAGCTGCAAAGGAGAGATACTAAGGGGTAATAAGGTCTGGCTCCTCCATATACCAGTGTTGTCATCTCTGGGAAGTAAATGATGGTAGTCAGTGTCTTGGGGTTATAAAAGGCTTTGAGAAACAAATTAATTACTTCCTGAAGTCAACTAGAGGCCTGTTTGTCTACTCTGAGATGTATTTTTCTTTAAATGCTTTGAAACAAAAGAAAACTTAGAATTAAAGGTTTCTGATGTAACGACAAGATAGCTTTTTGTCTGTTCTTTCTGTTATTTAATAATTTAAAAAATAATGCCATGTAACTTAGAACTTGTGAGGAGCTGCATGTTAGAAGTTTTTTGGTTAGCCCTATAATGTATTTGTAATACTTTAGCGTTTAGTAACTATTAGCAAAAGGCCGTTTAACTTAACTAACTTTTAGTTAGAAAGGATTTAAAATCATGGGTCAAGATGGGACAGGTTTGAAGGTACAGTTAGAGGGAGTAAAGCCAGTTGAGCATCACATCTAAGCCAGCTACTCTGCAGCATGGGAGCTGTCAGAGTTGTCACAGTCCCACAGTTTTCTACTCCACTGGCTTCAGCTGGAGTGTCTCTGTGCTGTTGCAGTGAGCTAGTTCAGGAAGGTGATCCAATTGGAAACTAATTTGCTATGGGACAAAGTGACCGGCTTGCTCCTGAGGCTGAGTTCATTGTGCAAAAGCCCAAGCTGCAGATCTGATGAAAAAAAAACAGGCTGGTCTTTTGACTGTAGAAATTCCTGGTTAAATCCAGACATTCTGCTCTGGAACTTCATCCCAAACCTGGACTATAAGCTGGCACATTTGCAGGAGGAAGAAATGCATCCTGCCTTACTCTTGCTCCCGTGCTGCTCCCTTCCTTTCCCTTAGCAGAGCTCCCTGAAGGGTATGTTTCAGAAAGCTGGATGCAGCTGTAAAATGTTGTGGGTTTTTTTGTCTGGATTATCTTTTTTGCTCAGGGTAGTTTAAGTCCTCCTTATCCAGTTGCCCTGGAATCTGCATGTGTACCTGTGAAGGAGAGGATGGTGCACAGGCAGGAATGAAAACTTGTTGGGAGAAGGTGGATCTGCTTCTCCTTTAACTCAGCTGGTTGATGCTGGTTTCAGGTGTTTGTTGGCCTTGTGCTTCAGGCATGCAGTGTTTGATATCTGAAGCTTTTCTTCCAAATTGTTGTTTCCACTTCTGTGCTTAATATGGAGTTCCCCTGGTTTTTAATCTATGAAATTGTTCATGGAGTGATGCTGCAAACTGGATTGTTGAGCTGATCATAGTTAAAAATAACTCCCTTTTATCTTGTCAGTTGCTCAGGCACCAACAGTTAAGGACAGTAAAGAGGCAGGAGTAGGGCATGAAGTGCAGTGTGGCAGTTTTTTCCATGCAAAAAGTGGTTCTAAAGCCAAAATGAGATAGTGTAAGTACAGTCAGAGGAGAAACAAGATAAACTAACCTTGCTCTGCCAAAGTGCTTGAATTTAGCAGGATAATGAGTGAACTGAAATCTCCAATAATATGTCTTCATTTGATGTGTCAATTGCTTTACAGTTTAATTGCTGTTGATTTACATATAACAGCATAATACATATGGTGTATTGTACTGTATAGTTCAGAGAAAATCTGTTCTAACCAGCATATGTGTGTATATAACATTATGTAAACATACACACAAATGAGAGAATGAAGGTTTTAATCTACATTGCCTTGTTAAAGTGAATGTTTCAAAGGGACCTCACAGGTAATTTTTAATGTGGGGGTGTTTTTTTTTCCTTAATTTTTAATTTTAATTTTGGTTTTAATTTTTCTTAATTGCATCTGTGGAGAAGCCTGAGGAAACTAAAATGGGGCTGTTCGAGACTGGAGTAAGATTTCTATCTAGAGATAGAAAATGTATCAAATTAGCATGATCTCATTTGATTTTTAGGTGCATGAGTCTGACTCAGAAAACCTAACACAAGAGAGAGCAGATTCAAGCACCAGCAATTTCTCATATGAGTTCATATGACTCTTGAATGGGTTCATGTGACATCAGTAGGCTTTACTTGATGTAAAAGCTGTAACGTGTTAGCTATGCAAATAGATGTGAAACATCACTTAAATACTTCTGGCTTTTCCTTTATGAAGTGAGTATCTCCACAGTTCCTGTACCTAGTCTGAAATTGGCTGTTAAATACATTTCCAGCATTCCCCATTAGTATCTTATTGTGGCTAGACAGCTTCAGGGTTTTTGAAACAACAGAGTTTGTTGGAATTTGTCCTGCAGAGGTTATGTGATGATAAGGAGTATTTTTTTCACACTTAACACTGCCTTTTAATCTCTTCACGTTTCACGCACACTTTTTGTGTGTGTTTTGTTTTGTTTTTTATCTCCTGCAGTACTTTTTGGGGTATCTCAGTTACAGCCAGTGCATAGCTGCCAACTCCATTGATGAACTGGCCTTTCTTCTCCATTATTTTGAAGGTCAGACAGAGAAAATTAAAGGACAGAAAGTTATACTGAATATTTGAAAACTCTATTTTAAAGGAAACATATTTTTCTGAAGTGCACTGGTGACTGTGAAAATAACATACATATGAATGTGTGTTGTTTCAGCCTGGAGTCTTTCACAGATACTAAAAAAAAAAAAAATCTAAATAAAAGGAATAAAGTTAAGAGAAGCCATCCAGAATAGAATTAAATTTCAACTGTAAAGAACCATATAGTACTACTGAGGACAAAACCTTTGAAGAAAACTGAAATAGCAAGGAAGCGTTCACAGGTAGATACTGTGTATTATGTTCAAGTGTTGTGTTCACGCAGTGCTTATGTAGCCGTGTAGCATTCCTTTTCAATGAGGTAGTTGTAACCAGGAGGCCACTGAAACCAAAGAACGGTGTGGCAGTTGTGTTATGGACAGGACAGTCATGCCTGTGGAAGGGTGCGGGACAGATTGGGAATGAGGGATTCTGGCAGGGAGGTAAGAGGAAGCCCTTAGTTGTGTTTTTGTTCTGCGAGTTGCAGGAACTG